TATTTTTAGCAACTGTTTAGTTTAGATAGAACTCTGAATTTTCATACAATATATAGATATACCTAAGGATTCTATAAAGTATAAAAAGTTCATTTTGATACCATGTACCAATACTAAAACTCAAATACGTATAGAACTATCAACACACTGTATACATGAATACTGTTACTAGTACATGCACGACATGAATCCAAAAAATCTCCTAGATTTGCTGAGGTGTGTATGTCTCATTACCTCGCCGATACAAAGTCCCATCACCTCTTCTCGCTCTGTTGATAAAGCGTGCGCCATGCATACCATGTATGCATCAGATTCAAGATGAACACCAGAAATAGCCATAATGTACCGCAGTTAGTATAACACTTCCTGTAGCCCTGGCACACAGTGGCGCTATTATTATTTTCACATTCAGACTTGTAGAATAATTTGTACTATTTTTTACGTTATTCAATATATTTATATCGAACCTGTACTACAAATATTTGTTTTATACTAAATAAATAACTGAATAAATTAATAAGGCCAATAGAAGACGAACATTTCACCTCTGAGGAGACGAATCTAAAACTAAATACGAATACGAATCATAGTTCGATTCCTGTATATTTGTTCGGAAATGTGTTTCCTCTAAGCTTTGAGAAAACAGACAGTAAAACAACGGTGCACTGCGGAATAAAATATATCATTTGGAGCGGTGATAATGTTGCTGCTGCTAGAAGATGAACATAAAGAACACCTTGAGTTCTTGACTTCAGTTGACCTTGAAGGTAATTAAACAGCAAAATTTGTGTTCTAAAAGGAGTCTCAGGAGGTGTTCCTTGGAATACCGGAAGTAGATAAAATATAAAATAGAATAGAATATTTTTATTGCATCAATTTAGAAAATACATTTCTTATTCTGATAAAAAGCAATTAAATGTTTACGGCGAAATAGAAACAAAACAGGGAAAACATAAATAGATTTGGAGTAGGAATTGATAATAATAATAATAATAATGAATTTATTGCATCCTTAGAAATAGTTTACATTGGTTGACAGCAATAAAATGTTAGTAATAAAGTATAATACATATAAAACTGAAGTAAAAGTAAAATGTCAGTTATTGTTATTTCTGATTTCAAATATTTTGTATAAGTATTCACCAACTTGTCTTATTAGTACATCTTCTCTTGAACTCATAATATATTTAAATATCTGGTTATCACTTTTCAATTCTTCTGGAATATTGATATTATTAAATAGATTTTGTCTTTCTGTTTGGTACCTAAGACATTCCATGAAGAAATGTTCTTCATTTTCAATTTTGATCTGGGAATATTGCTTACAGATTCTGTCTTCTAAAGGTATTTTGGGTTGGGTATGTCTACCCTTCTCAATTTCTAATACATGACTGCTTATTCTGAAA